AGGTGGTGCTCAAATTTAGATCCTCCTGTCTCAGCCTCCCACGGTACAGGGATTACAGGTGTGCAGCATCATGCCTCTCCTCTCCTCTGCTCCCCCTCCCTTCTTCTCCCTCTTCTTCCCCTCCCTCTCCCTCCTCCTCTTCTCTCCCTCTTTCCCTCCCTCTCTCTCTCTTTCTCTCTGTCTCTGTCTCTCTCTACATGGTGCTAGTTTAAACCCAGAACCTTTGCATGCTAGACAAGCACTCCACCCTAAGCTCTATCTCCTGTATTTTTTTTAAACTTTATTTTGAGATAGGATCTTTAAGTTGCACTTGCTGGACTTAAACTTGTGATCCTCTTGGCTCAGCTTCCTGAGCAGCTGGGATTATAGGTGTGTGCTACTGAACCTGGATCCTAGGATTTTTTCATGCTCTTGTTGGCCATTTGTCTATTTTTACTTTGAAGAAATGTCTATTCCAATTATTTATTTAGACTCTTGCTATGCAGTTCAGGCTGTCTTGAACTCACTATGCAGTCCAGGCTGGCCTAGAACTCATGGTGATCCTCCTGCTTCAGCTTCCTAAGTAGCTGGGATTCCAGTCATGCACCATTGTGAATAAGGCTTGGGCTATCTTTTATTGTTGTATCATTTCAGTTTATGCAGGGGAACCTAAGGCTCAGGAAGGGATGTGACTAGATCAAAAACACTGGCTCCAAAGCAGATTGCGACTGGGACTTGACTCTCTTGTCCACCCTGGGGAGGGGTGTTTTCTCTCTAGCCAGTGGATTAGGCCTCCTACCCAAGCTACCGCAGAGCCTGTCCCTGCATTTAAAGGAGGACTCCCGCTTCCAGAGGGTGATGAGCCAGAGAGGCTGAGAGGCAGCGGTTCTGAGGAACCAAGCCTGTCCTCTTCCTCCCCAAATCACGCGGAGTTGACTGACGTGGCTCAGAAAGGGGACAGCCCGGGTCCTGTGGTTGGGTCCTATTTATACTGGCTATGCTGTGTTGCAAGCTTTTCCTGATGGTGACAGGGACGTCACTAGGCACTGACCTCACCAGAAACGCTGACGCATCTTCCTTCACCCTCTGCTCTGATGGCCGAGAGGCCAGCCCTCGGCACCTTCGGCCACTGGCCACTCTGTGTCCTCCTGTGTATCCCCCGGACCCTCCACCAACGTTCTGCAGCCCTCCAACCATGCTGCCTCCTGCAAGCTCTTGTGGGCTGATTCTCATTCTCCCAGTCCTATGTGTGATTCCTGAGCCCCAGCATCTGCACACATGCAACCGCATTTGGAGAGCGGGCCCTTCACGAAGAAGGGCGAAAGGAAGACAAGGCCTTTGGGTGCAGCCTAGTCCTGGGACTGGTGTCCTCATCCAAAGTGCTGGACAGCTCACAGAGCAGAGATGCCCCTGGGGAGCCACAGCGAGCTAAGGCCGTCTACGCCCCAAGGGCTGAGGTCTCAGAAAGAACCAAGCCCACTGCCACCTCCACCTCAGACCTCTGGCCTCCAAAAGTGTGAGAAAATAAAGTTCGTTCCTGAATCCTCGCAGCCTGTGGCATGGGCAGCGCTCAGTGTTTGTAGCTTCTGCATCTGCACAGCCAGCCTCCTGCAAACTGGAAATATACTTAGGCCCTGTACTGGCCCTGCACACACTTTCACCCTTGCCGCCGTTCCCTAAATGGTACAGGATGCCAGCTTGGATAGCACTGGCATCGTGCTGGGCAGTACAAGCAATCTAGAAAGGAGTTAGTATCACAGCTATCAAACATTTCAGCTCACCTGGGCTATGCTGAGTGAAGAGGAATTGGACACCCCTTATAAAATACATAACACATTTAATAATAGCAAAACTTCCTATCTAACTACAGTATTTGTTTTTCTTTTGTAACACTGGCATTGAACCCAGGGTCTTCTCACTTAGCTACATCCACAGTCCTTTATTATTTACCTTGTCAGGGTCTTAATAAGTCATTAAATTGTGCAGGCTGGGTACAAACTTGTGATTTTCCTGCTCTAACCTCCCAGAGTGCTGGGATTACAGGAATGCACCACCACACTGATCTATTTTAAAATATTTTATACTTATAATATATATTTTTTAAATTTTTATTTGTGTGTGTGTGTGTGTGTGTGTGTGGCCAGCTCAGCCCACCAGGGGGCGGGGCTGGCTGGCATGTGGTGCTGGGGGATTGAACCGCGGTCCCTGTGCTCTGCTAAGCTTGTTCTAAGTAGGTGCTTTAGACCACTGAGCCATCTCACCAGCCCTATACTTATAATATTAAAAAAAAAAAAACATACAGAAGGTAAGCTGTGTGTGGTGATGGATGCCTGCAATTCCAGCACTTCCGAGGCTGAGGCAGGAGGAGTGCCATGAGTTTGAGGCCAGCCTGCGCTCCATAGTGAGTTCAAGGCCAACTTGGATTACAGAGCAAGAACTTGTCTTGAGAAGGTTTTTTTTTTTTTTTTTTTTTTTTTTTTGGCTGGCTCAGGCTGCCTTAATGGCGGGTCTGCTAAGGCTAGTGGAGGTGGGGATTGAACCATGGTATTCTGCTCCTGACTATGTTTGCATGAGCAGGCACTTAAACAGCTGAGCTAACCAGCAGGCTCCCCGAACTTGTCTTGATAAACTAAAAAACTAAAAAAAAAAAACAAATAAACAAATGAAGGTAAATGGTCCCAGGGCAGCAGACCACTGGATAAGTCCATGCAAATGCCACATCGTGCTGAGTAAGAGACGCATCTTTGGGGGGTGCTGAACCCATCTCTTGTGGTTGTCAGGGGACTGTGGCATTCCAACTCCAGCAAATGAATGTGAGAACTATGCCTGCCTGTGTTGATGCTGTCCTGGGCTGCCCTCAGCACTCTGATGAGCCCTGTGGCAATCAGAATGTGGTCCTACAAATTAGGCTCCGCTTGAATGCTGTCCTAACCGCTGTGCAGCCTGAGTGGGGCAACCTCCCATCTTTGTGCCTCTGAGGCTATTTATTTATTTATTTATTTATTTATTTTTGGGGCCGGCTCAGCCCTCCCTGGGGGCAGGGCTGGCAGAGCATGTGGTGCTGGGGATCAAACCACAGTCCCTGCATGCTTGCCTAAGCAGGCGCTTTGGACCACTGCACTATCTTGCCAGCCCAGCTGAGGCCTTTTAAACCTGGGAGACAATATAGCCAGCTTGTAATCAGGGAGGACGGAACAAGGTAAAGATGAGCGACAGTCCCCAAGTGTCCCTAAGAGGAGCAGGAGCTCTGTGGATGGACCTGGCTCTCCCGCCCTGAGCTAGCTTCCGGACTTCCAGGGCTTCCCCTGCCCACCCAAGCGAGATGAGGCCTCTCTCTCCCAGGCTGCTATGAGATCAGGGATGTGAAATGCAGAAGGATGCCCGCTTGGCCAGGCCCAGGAAGCAGCCCTGCGGGGGTGAGCAGAGATGAGGAATTCAGTGGAAGTGGCGTTCTGAGGATGCGAATCCAGAACTAGCCCAGGGGGCGAGGCAGGTATGGTGAGGGACTGGGTGCAGCAGGTGCCACACTGGATGCGGGTGGGCGGCCGGGTGTGGAGAAGCCACAGGGACTGGAGCTGTCTGGCTTTGCCTACTGTGGGATCCTTAGCACCTAGTAGTGGCTGGACCTTTCCTGGTTTGTTGAATGACCACAGGGCATGGGGGCAGGTCTGCAGAGTGGGTGGCAGCAGCTCCACTCTGGCTGCAAGTCAGCCCCCCACCCCCATCCTCAAGCTCAATGCGCCCCAAGCCCAGCAGCCGCGCACAGCAACCACCCTGGCTCCCCAACTTCAGAGGGCACCAGCCAGGGATACTCTTCCAGCCCCAGTGGACGTGTGCTGGGGCTGTCAGGCAGTTCCTGTGGGCCTCTGCCAGCCCCCACACCTCCTTGTTCACATGTCCCCATGCCTCAGTTTACCCCAGTGAAGCAGCAGGGAGGCACTTTTTCCAAGGCCTCTTCTGATGACTTTGGCTTTTCGAGGACAACCGGGGACCAACCCACGATCGCTATCTTTCAGAGAAAGTGAAACCTTGTCTCCAACCGCCAGGGCGGCAGCTCCCCCACCCCAGGCTTCCCCTCTGAGCTCACAGCTTCCCCATCTCCTCCACCCCCCCATCCCACCCCGACAACTAGTACTTGGAATTAGAGTTTCATTTTGTCTTTTCCATTCTTAGGGCTTTTACCTTTTATGTCCATGATGGCCCCAGCTCCAGGAGGTGGCCTACGAAATGCTTTGCTCTTCCTTTTCTTTTTCAGGTGGGGCTTCTCAGGCCCAGACAGGTTAAGTGACTTGCTTCAGGCCACACAGCATGTCAGCAAGTTCATGAACCCATTTCTTGCTTCTTTTGTTCATGTGTCCAGTTCTCTTCTGCGGGCCCTGGCTGCAGAGAAGGGCCATGGCTGTGGGCAGTGGGCAGCAGGCCTGGGATGGAGGCTGGTAGCGAGGCTGATGCAGGTATGGCTGGGGGATGCAGGTCCTGGGGCTAGAACCACAATCTCGGGGCTGCCAGCCTGGGTCTGGCTTTGGCTCTGTGCCCAGAGCCCAGTGGTTTCCGCTTACAGATGTACCAACAGCCCCAGCAAGAGGGCAGGAAGGGCATTCAACGAGGAAGATGTGCTGCTTGCTTAGCCCAAACCTCACTGGTGACCTGTGGGGCCAAAGGATTCTGGACCATGACTGGCTGGGGGCCTCCAACCACCTTGCTCTCTGTCCCTACCTCCGGCTCTGGGCACAGCCTCCTGAAGACGGCACAGAGCCCCTGTGCCCCACTTACCCCAAGAAGCCTGAGGCTGCGGTTTGCATCATCCTTGGGCGTGGAGCTGACCTCGAAGAACGAATTCGAAGAAAACAGGAGGAGGAGCAGGCATGCCCATTGGCCGCCGAGGAAACTTTGGTTTTTGGGGTCATGTTCCCAGAAGGCCTGCCCTCCCCCTCCCCACCCACCTCACGAGGTATTGGCCAATCGCCCCAGCGGGCATAAAGTGGCTGCCAGCCCGCAGGACTCCCAGCTTGGAGGTATCGCCCCCAGCAGGCACGGGCCAGCGAGCGAGGGCACCCAGCATGCAGGCACAGCACACACGGAGGCTGCTACTCAGTAAGTACTTCCTTCCTCTGTGCCAGCACCCTCGTGCTGTGCCCAGGACCCGGCACAGCGCAGGGCACCCTTGCTTCCACAACCTGGATCGGCCAGGCACTGGGCAGAAGGATGCTGAGAAAAGGAGCAGGGTGAGGGATGGGAGGGTCTGCTGAGGACCCAGCAGCCCCACAGGTGCAGACTGCAGCCGCCTGGAAAAGCTTTGGGGAGGCTACTTTGGGATAAAGGTGAGGAAGAGGATGGATGGGAAGAGGCTGCAGGCAGGAGGCAGGTGGAAGACATGTGGGGCGGGCCAGCAGTTGCCGGCCCAGCAGGGAAGTGAGGCAATGCATGTGTGTGCAGACAGGGCTCCATCTAGGCCCAATTTGATTCTCAGGTGTAGGACGGAGTGAAAGTCAACCAGGCCTAGGAGCATGTACAAGCACACGGAGCCACGCCCACGTGGTGACAGGTGCAAAGAGCCCTGTGACATCATCTGGAGCCCTCACTCTAACCAACCTGGAAGCCAGGCCCCAGGTGACCAGGCCAAAGGGCTCCCTGGTGGCTCCTGTAGGTCTGCTCTCACACCACCTGCCAACTTTTGGTCCCATATAACTAGTCACACGCATGCTGTGGGTCCCCCACCCAGAGCTGGACTGGAGACACCTAGGGAAGTAGCAAGGGTGCCTGTGGTTGGGCGCCTGGGTGCCCTACCCTGTGGCTCTTCCCAGCAGCTGGTCCTCCCCTAGAGGCTGCGCAGTTGGTAGGAAGGGAAGGATGGTGTCACTGCCTTCCGGGCCATTGCGCCACAGGCCCCTTCCGACCACGTGGCTGCTAGAGCCTGTGGGGGTGGGGGGATAGTGAGCTGTAATGGCGCTAGCCCCCTAAAACCTTCCCATTGAATTATGGCAAACCTGGTGGCCCTGAAAAAAGGGACCACTTACAGAGGCAGGAAGAAATCTGGAGAGTAGAGAGGGCTGGCTTCTTGTGATCAGGGCAAGCTGTTCTTCTGTGACTTGGTTTATCTGTCAGCAAAATGGGCACATGTGTTGGATGAGCTCTCATGTCCTCACCATATGGACCCTTTGGGAGGGAAAGTGTACCCTCCTGGCTCTTTCTGGCTTGGTGTACAGAGCTCAGGGCGCACCATGCTTGGGGCTGCTGCCCCATATTCCTCTAAAGTACATTTGTGCAGGGGTCCGGGGTCTGTTACGGGGGCCCAGCATGGCTGTAAGTCCTGGGGCTGTGGCTGGCCCTTGGCCCAGAGGTCTTGCAGATCATCCCTTCCCCCAGGCCACCTGCTGTCAGCACCTGAAGTTAGGCCTGGGATGCAGGCAAGCCAGATCTGGCTGGCCACCTCCACTACCCTCTGCCAGCCACCCATCCCTTGAGCCCTGTTTTGAGACATGGGCAGTGACTCCTGGGAAAGATGTGGTGGCCTCGGGAGTTCTTGCCCAGGACAAGGTGGACACCTGCCAAGGTACTGTTGAGCCCCTCCCCAGGGCCTTGCCGATAGCTTCTCCACCACATTGAGTGACTCTGTCCTTCTCTGCTCCAGGTCTGGTCCTTGGACTTCTGTTCCTGAGCCCAGTGGTGGAGGCAGCAGTGGCCATGCGCAGATGCTCCAGCTCCTACACGCAGCTCCTCAGCCAGCTCCAGAGCCAGGCCTACCTCATGAAGGACACCGGTTGCCTCCTAGAGCCCTATGTAAGCCCCAGCCTCAGAGAATGTCAGGGGGTTATCAAGAGAGTGAGCTCAGGGGGCCGGCCATATAGCTCAGCGGATTAAAGCATCTGCTTAAGCAGATGCAGGGACCAGGGTTTGATACCCTGCCTGCTGTGACAGCCCTGCCCCGGGGGCATGCTGAGATGGCAGTTGAGACTGGGCTTGGTGGCACATGCCTGTAATCCCAGCACTTGGGAGGCTGAAAACAGGGGTATCATTACGAGTTCCATCTGTGTAGTAAGACCCTATCGACCCTGTACTAAATACATAAAATAAAATAAAATAAGAGAGTGAGCACAGGGAAGACCAGGCCCAGGTCCCACTCGGTATGGACAGTGTAGGGAAGCTGAGTCCCAGAGGAGCTGAAGGAGGGGACCGCGCAGGCTCCCTAGCTCCCAACCCCATGCCATGTGTGCTTGCTTGTCTGCACGTTTATGGGCCCCTTCCCTGGGCCTTGTGCAGTAAGCAGGGTCCAGCCCTCCCGAGGGCCCTTCCCACGCCTGTCACTGCCTATGCAGTCACCACACAGGCCCCAACAGCCCTCCTACTTTCTCTTCAGGGATCTCAGTGCTGCCATCTCTCAGGTCTCTGATGGGAAGATCAGGTCTAGTATTTCAAGGACAACCAAGGCAGGCTCATCTGTGTGTGTGGTTGGGGGCCCTCGTGCATGCACCCCCTGATTCTCGTGTTCCTCCAGATTCGCCTCCAAGGCTTAAACACACCTATTCTGAGACGGTCCTGCATGGAGTGCTCCGACAGCGCCTTCCCCAGCAAGGACGCCCTGGGAGCACTGAGCAGGCATGCCTTCCTGCACAGCGTCAGTGCCACACTGGGCAGTGTCCTGCAGGGACTGCATGCTCTGCAGCAGAAGTGCTTGAAGGCCAAGGACTTGCCAGAGTTGCACATGGCCATAGAGAACATCCGGGGCATCAGGAACAATATCTACTGCATGTCAGAGCTGTTCACCAAAGGCTCAGAGATGAAGACGCCCGAGGCCCCACGACCTAGCACAGAGGCTCCGCTGACACCCTCTGCCCAGGACACCTTCCAGGCCAAGATGGAGGGTTGTCAGTTTCTATGTGGCTACCACAGTTTCATGGGCTCCGTGGAGCAAATCTTCAGGAAGTGGGGGGACAGCTCGAGTCGTAACAGGAGACACAGCTCCCGCCGGGCCTTGCACAAGGGGGCACGCAGGGCCAGGCCCTCAGGAAGGGTCAGGAGGCCTGTGTCCATGGGGCAGCTGTCCTGGTAGTCTGAGCAACACCCCTGTGGGTGTGGATGTGAGGAGCCAGTGGAGGGTGCTGGGTCCCCACCTGGGTTTCCAAATCTGCTGTCTCTGTCCCCTACCACTTAGAAGTGCACTTTAAAAAGTGGTGCTGCTATGGCCCTTTCTACCTCTGCTGGGCTTGGGGGAGAGCCAGGCTGCAGAGCCCCCGGCTTGAGTTTCCCAGTCCTGGTGGGGTGGCCAGGTCAGGCCGCGAGGGGCCGACTTTCCATTGATTCAGGGGTCTGATGACACAAGCTGACTCATGGCTGGGCTGACTGCCCCCTCAGATTCCCCAGAGGCCCTTCCCTCTCATGACTTGTGGGGCTCTGGCCCCCAGACTTCCTCCTTTCTGTGGTGGCAGGGTTCCAACGGGAGGTCAGGGCCTGAGCTGGCCTCTGATGCCTCATCGGCGCTCAGGCTAGACACCTGGACACCGGGGTGACCTCACTGTAGGCAGCTATGGCAGAGACAGTGTGTCCTAGAAGGAGCGCTGGCCTGCAGGTCTAGGGGCATGAGACTCAGACCCCAACTGCGTCTCTAATTCACTGAGCCACCTCGGGCAGATCACTTTACCTCTCTGGACCTCAGTTTTCTCTTTGGAAAGCCAAGAATTTGGATACTGTGTTAAGGCGCCCTCTGCCTGGCCATTTCTGGGACTCTGTGATATGAATTGGACGTCAAACTCTCTGAAAGTTGGGACACTCGGTGCAAAGAGCCTTAGGATGGGTGCGCGTTGGAGTTTTCTCCGTGAGAGCCCCCAGCCCTGGGTCTTGGTTCTGCACAGCTGCTTACTCCCTCTGGCGGCGGATCGTGGAATTTTCTTGCGCTGAAATCGGGCCTCCAAGGAGGAGGTTCCAGAAGCATGTGGGTGGATTCCTTGGAGCACCGTGACTAATTTATTGATTTTTTTAAAAAAAAAATCAGTTTGTAATCAGGTCCATATTTATAAGGCTTATTTATGATCTATATTTAATGTTAATAATATTGTGCTAACATATTTAAATCTTGCCTGGTTTCCAAAGCTGCTGTCTCTGTTGTCATGTGGGAGAGGATGGGGGGCAGGGGCATCTTTAGATAGCAAGGCCAAAAGTTCACGCCTGGAAGTCGGGCTGGATGCCCTTGCTCTGTCCAGCGAAGGTAGTCACATGACCTAGCTGAGGGGGAACGCGGAGGGTGGGGCCAGGGGTGCCCCTGGCCATGAGGATCAGTTCATATTTTTTCTAGTACTAAGGACTGAACCAAGGGGACCTTTGTCACTGAGCTAAATGCCCAGCCGTTTTCATTTTGAGACAAGGTCCCGCGAGATTGCTCAGGCTGGCCTGGAACAGGTAATCCTTCTGCTTCAGCCTCTCCTAGCAGCGGGGATTACAGGAGTGCACCACTCCTGGCAGCATGGGTCTCCCTTAAGATGTTGGGGATGAGGGTCGTGGGGTAGGAGTGTAAGAGAGGATGGAGGAAGGCTTGGGGTTGTGAGTTGCTTTGGGATACCTTGGGGCTGGGGTGTGTGTGCCAAGTGTGATGTGCACCAGTGTGTGTTGTGTCTTTCTTTCTCCTCATCTTGGAGCCTGGATATTGATATGTGAGTAGATACATGTGTGTGCACGCACACATGTGCTACATCTGCATATATCGTGTATACAGGGCACACGTATGCCAACATCTCATCACTGATGGGACATAGGCATGTCCTGGGGCTGGAACTCGGTGGGTACTCTAAGTCTTTGTGGGATGAATCAGTGTGTGGATTTGCAGTCATCCCCTGCCAACAACTCCCCTTGCTCAACATGTGACACAAATACCCACAAAGGAATGGCTGTACACACAGGGCAATTGCTGGGGTGGATGGGAAAGCGCAGCACAGTCAGATAGACCTTCTGGGCTCAGAGTCTCTCACACACTCCTGTCTGGGTAACCCTGGGCAAATGGAGGAGGCTCTGAACCTTTGTTTATTCATCTGTCAAATGGGCCAGATCCTAGCTGATCTTGCCGTAAGAGCGTGTGCCTTGGGGTATGTTTCACACTGCTCTTGGAAGGGGCTAGAGTTTCCACCTGATGCCAGAGCTCCTCCTCAGGTGAGATTAATGGCACAGGAAAGCAGAAGCTACAGGGGAAGTAGGGCCAACAGAGGCAGATGAACTTGGAGTTTAATACGTGTTAGGCTTATAATAAATTCTGTGCATTCTTTTCACTGTTAAAAAACAAACAAACCCTAAAGGATGGGGGACTGGGGATATGGCGCAGTGGTAGAACATTTCCCTAAAATGTGTAACAGCTTGACCTTGACTCGCATCAGTTCCTGGCCATTCCCACTTCCTAGAATTGGGAGCCAACTCTTGCATCAGAGGTGGAGGATGCTGCATCAGGTATGATTCTCTGCAGATGGAAAGACCAGGACTCAGAGAGTCTCATCAGCCCAGATCCTCAGGACAAGATAACTGGGCTGGGCACAGCTTGATTTCAGGCCTGTTGGACTCTGGGGTGGGAGCATCTGCCTGGATGCTCCCCTACCGAACCCTGCCTCTGCAACTTGGCTGACAATTGCAAGAGTCCCTAAAGACATTGAGCTCCGGGGTAAGGGTCAGACAGACAATAGACCAGCAAAAGAACCAACAGGAGCATCTGAGATTGCATATGAGTTTGACCAAAAAAAAAAAAAAAAAAAAAAAAGTCGGATGATGTAATACAGAGAGAGAGAATGGAGCACTGTGGGTGGTCAGGACTGTGTCGGGAGAGATGACGTTTGCCCTGTGGTCTGAATGACACGCAGAGGGGTGATCAGGACAGCTAGGGCAAAGGCTCCCGACACCCAAAGATCAGAACATGAATGAGGGCATCTTGACTTATCAAAAAGGCCCAGAGAGGGGCCAAATTTTGCCCAACCCTACAGAGCATTAGTGCAAGGCTGGGGTAGAACTCTGGCCCCTACTTTTCCAACTAGCAGTCATTGTGGGAAGCTGTCCAGTGTATTGCATGCTATCTGCTTAGTGCTAATGAAGGCCCTCTAGTACCCTCCACTGGGCCCCTTTCCCTCTTAGCCCGCCCCCACCACAAACCCCCCACCTATGCTGTAGGTTGGACACCAGGCTTCAGTTTTCCCTATGGACACCCTTGCTTTTCTCTTTTCCTCTGGCCTAGGTGGTTCCTCACTGAGCTCCTCTACCTCTTCCTGCTCTGCAGACATGCAGTTCCCTGTCTTTTTTCGGTCCTGTCAGCTCCCCTTGTGGTCAGCCGTCAGCTCAACGGGGTATCCTGGGCAACCCTTCCCCCACCCATAGTCTGAGTCCAGCACCTCAGTTATACCCACCCTGTGGTGTTTGGTGTTTGCATTCCTGACCATCTTCCATACTGGCCTGGAGCTGCCATGGACAGAACCACCTTCTGTTCCATTAAGTTCTGGCACCCAGCAGTACTTGGTACCTAGCGGGAGCTCAGCGAGGAGCCACCCAAGTCGAAGGAAAAGAGAAAGGCAAGGGTATCAATAGGGAAACTGAGGCACAGTGTACACTGGGGAAACCATCCTGCAGATGTCATCCCAGTGCCCTGGCTGTCTTCAGCTCCCCGTCTTTCCAGCAGCAGGGAGCTGGATTCATTCATAGCTGCCCCTCCCAGCAAGGAACAAGGGGTTTTCTTGATTTAGGCTTCTGGGAAGCTATGGGTGAGAGGTGAAAGCCCAGCACTCTCAGCTTCCTGGAGCAGAATGAGAACCATCCCTGTGGTGCGTACCAAGGTTGCCCTCAGAGAGAGCAGAGATTATCTTCAGAGAAATCCTAGGCCGGCTTCCCCCATCCTGGCTTGCCCTCTGTTCCGGGCTCTCCTGGATGCTGTTTGACCTGGCTTCCAATTGCAGCATTATAGTCCCCAGGAAGTAGAGGAGGGTGCTGTAGTCTCTGGGGAGGGGTCTGGGAGTCCCATCTCCGAGGACTTATGAGCTCTGTACCGCATCCAATGAGCCACAGCTGCAGGTAATCCCCAACTGCCAACCCCAGGATGGTCATCTGCCCAGAGGAGATCTACCCGCTTCCTGGCTCCAGGAGGAAATGGAGGCACCTTGAAGCCAAACTCACCACCCTCCTCCAAGGGCCCACTTGCTCTCCCCCCCCCAGCCCCACCCCAAGGTTCCAGAATCTCAGGCTTCCTTCCTGTTCCCTTGCGGCCCCTCCTCTCCCCAGAGCCATCAATGCCACAGCTTTTCTCCTGTTTGCCTGTGGCTCATACCTCCTATTTCCTCTGTCATCAAGCCAAACAGGATCTGGCTCCTGATATAGAGAGTGCATTCTCTTCGTACTTCTTCCTGCTCAGAAACCTTCCATGACTCCCTCCAGCCCTTCTCCACAAAGCTTTGACTTCAGGTTCCCTGTCATAGCACTGCGGCCGAAGATCTCAGCCCGGAGTTTTGCCAGCTCATTCCTGCAGTGGCTCCAATCTCAGCTGGTCCCAGCGCATCCCAACAGTCTGTCCTACTGCCCAGTACACCTGTAGTTCAAATCCTCCATCCCTCTGCCCCACTATGGCTTTCCTTGGGGCTTTGGGCAGCTTGTAGGGACTACTTGTTGAGTCCCAGAAACCCTGGGCAGAAGGAGCCCTTCTCTGATTACCTTCACCCCGTTAGTGTGAAATGGTTGCCTGACTGGGTCTCCATGGCCGTCTGCCATTAAAAGCACAAAATCAGGGCTCTGCTTTTGGGCCACAAGTTAAGCTGAGTCCCCACAAGGCACTTTTTCCCCCTGAAAGGTCTATGCAAATATGTTCCCTGTGTGAAGTTACAAGTTGGTCACACGGAACAGTGAGCCAGCACCAAGCTCAGGGAGACAAAAGCAGTGTGGTGTGGTGCTGTGCCTGGACCAACTCAGAGCTTGCTTTTTCTGTTTCTTTCTTTTTTTTTTTTTTTGAGGGGGTAAGGTTATTGTTAGACTCTCAGTCAACACTGCAGGTCATAGACATGGATTAAAAGTTTTCCAGGGGGGGTCAAGGAGATGGCTCAGTGGAATAAGTTCTTCCCTGGCAAGTGCAAGGGCCTGAGTTCAATCCCTAGTTCTGGGAAAAAAAAAAAAAGTTCTCTAGGGCCCATTCATGGTGGTGCATGGCTATAATTCCAGCACTCAGAAAGCTGGGGCAGAAGGATTTCAAGTTCAAGGCTGGTGTGGACAATTTAGCCAGATCCTATCATAAAAAAGAATTTTTTTTTTAAAGGGCTGGAGATGTAGCTCAATGGTAGAAAGGCCCTGGATTCAGGGCCAGTGAGATAGCTCAGTGGACTAAAGTGCCTGCTTAGGCAAGCACAGACCAGCGCACGCAGGTGCAGGGACCATGGTTCAGTCCCCCACACCACATGTTGCACCAGCCCTGCACCCAGGTGGCGCATGCCTGTAATCCCAGCACTGGGGAGGCAAGAGGATCAACACCAGTCTGATCTGCATAATGAGAACCTGCAACAACCAAATACATTAAAAAAAAAAAAAAGGTCCTGAACTCAATCTCTGGTAATAACACACACACACACACACACACACACACACACACACACACACACACACGGCCTAGAAGGCAGGAATTGCAGCAAAAAGGCAGAGAAGTTCTCTTGGCATTTGCTGTTTATCTGCAGAACAAACTCACAACCTAAAATGGCAGCCCCAGGATACACTCCTGCACCTCCATGTCCTTGCTTCTTTTGCTGTTCCGGGTTGGGTTTTTTCCCCCCATTGCTGGTGGCTGAATTCAGGGCCTGAAGACTGTGAGGCAACTGCTCTACCAGCCTTGCCCCAGCTAATGTGGTATTTCTTTCTGAAAAAGCAAGGAGTGAGAAAAGTAATTTAGACTTGAGAAAAATGGATCTGCCCCCAATCCCCAAGCCTCCCCAGTAACCTGCCTGGGCCCAAGCCTCAGTTTCCCTCTTTGTCGAGAGAAGCTGGGTTGAGCCTCCTCCCAGCTATAATAAAGATGTCCTAGGAGATAACACAGCCCGGATGCTGATGTTAGCACTGTCCCTCTGCAGGTACGCAAACAATGTTTTTACTTTCTTTTTCCCTTCTCATTGGTTTTCCTTCTTTACAGTGCTTCTCTTTGTCCCTGTCTCCATCATAACCTCTCCCTCTCCACACCAGGCTGAGGACCCAGGATGTCTCCAGAACCCCTTTGCCGGCATCGAGAAAAGGTCACAGTCCACAGTCAGAGCGGGAGGCCCTGGCACAGCCAGCCAGCTTGCTGCTTCCTGGGGCGGGTGTCCCCAAGGGCTGGGCTGCCTTGGGGAGGGGCGAAGGTCTCTGAGGGACAGGGGTTGGACAGGTGGGGCCCTGTAGCCTGGGCTGGAAGGTAGAGCAGAAGGGCCAGTTGGCTCCCTGGTTTTGAGGTGGGTGCTGGGGCAGGAAGTGATGGAATGGAGGATACTATGTCCAGGGGGGCAGCTACAGTCCTGTGACTTCTGGGACAAAAGGAGGATGGCTGGGTGCACACGGCCTGTGGCAGGTCTGAGTCAAAACACCTAAGGCCGACCCCAGCTGGTCATGTGGAGAGCGGCCCAGTCATCGCCTTATGCTGGCCCGGGTCACCCAGGCAGGCTGGGCGCGGCCCAATCAGTAGTGACTCAGGCCACAGTGGCTTCGCCACGCAGCCAGAACAGGGGCATCGGGCAGAGGGACGCCCCCTCCTCACACCTGGCCTCTCCCTGTGGCCATTTGGGAGACCCTAACCTCGCACCTCTGCCAGGCAGCCTGGGGGAAGTGTGTGTATGACTGGGATTCGCTGCTCCTGTCGTCCCTGGCCCTCAGCTTGGGGGTGGGGTAGAAGTGGGGGGAGCCTTGGGGCCACCGGCCCTGGACGGGAAGTCATGAGGGGGGCGGGGTGAGGAGCTGACACCAGAGAAGGTTCAGCTCTAGAGGGAAGCAGAGGGGCCTGGTCCCGAAGATGACGGTGTCCCTCTGAAGACGTGGCAAATATCCTTTCCGATTTGGAGGACCGAGCGCAGACGCAGAGAACAAGGTAGGATTCCCTGGTGGGGCAGGACTGTGGGGTGGACACCAAATTTATCCCCAGCATGGACAAACATCACTCATTCCCTCATGCATTACAGACCACCTGGGGGCCCATGCAGCTTCTGGGCCTCAGTTTCCTCATTTGTAAAATGGCATCAGAAGACATGCCCTGAACCTTTTGGAGGATGTTGAGGCAAAATAGGAGGGACCAGTTGTGAAAGTGTCTCATGGCCATGTGAAGGGTTAGAGATCATCAATGAGTTAAAGGGAAGAGGACAGAGCCCCAGAGAGGGAGGATGCAGGGAGGCCCAGGTTCAAATCCTTGGCTTTGTATTTTTTGAAAAGCCACCTTTTTGGGAGTCTTGATTTCTGGATTCCCAAGGGATTCTCGAGTTCCCTTTTCTCCACAGCAGTGGAAAGTTCTCAGCCAGTGGAGGGCTTTACCTCAGATGGAGCTGTGGGATCAGAGAGTCCTTCTTCCTTCGGGAGGGCTGCAGTGGGCCATGGGTCCCCTTGTGGGAAGCTCCAGAGGGTACAATCTGTCAAATCCTGGCCCCTTTGCTTTTGACCTGAACTAGTGCGGGGTCTGATTGCTCTACCTCATTAGTTCTATAAAGGAGTCTGGCTGAGGAAGCACCAGTTCTGAGGGTCATGGTGGGAAGGGAGGAAACTTGTATTGAGTGTCCACAGACCTCTGCAGGGTGCTTGGCAGCAGGTCTCCACTGGAAGGGATTACAGGAGGATGGGAGACTGGCCCTAGGCCTGTCCTGGTTCTGGACGTTGGGGCCCCCTGAGTGCTGGGCAGCGCAGGCCTGTGGCAGGGCAGTGAGGAAGCTACGAGCCCTGACTCTGGAGTGGACACTCGTGGTTCCCTTCAGTTCCTGCTTCTTGCTGTGTGACCTTGAGCAGCTCGTATCACCTCTCTGAGCCTCGGTTTGCCTCTATAAAATGAAGGGTAGCATTCTCATCTGGAGGAGAGCTTGAGGACTGGGTAGGCAGCCCACCTGCCTCCTTCCCCTGGAGCTGTGCTGCGCCCTCCGCCCGCGGCGCACGGTCCTAGCGCCCCCTCCTGGCCCGTGCTCCCCTCTCCCGCCAAGTGCTGGCCAGACACAGCCTTGTCCCATCTCCGCTAGGGCCCCTGCTCCCACCCCCCACCCCCGCCGGCTTCATTCCCAGCCTCAGGCAGTCCCGCTCACTTCCTCAAATCCCCAAAGCTAGTGCTTCCCGCCCCTCCCTGCTAGAGGAGACATCCGCAGAGCGGACCCGGGGCTCTCCACTGTGGGCACAGTGTCTGCCACCCACCGGGCAGTGGGGGGCGCTGCTGCCCGTGGCTTGGAGCTGCTCAGAGGACTGAGCAGGGATCCCGGAGCCCGAGCCCTGCTTTCCAGGGAACCTGGAGGCAGTCTGTACCCCCACCCCACACCACCACACTCCAGAGTAAGCCTTCTGGAACCTTTCCTAGATCCTTCAAGGCTGATCTATGCAGGACAACAAGACCCCAAGAAGCTTCCTTCTGGAATTCTCACCAGCTAGTGGGAACCAGGGCTCAGGTGTCCCATCTGTCTGGGAGTTCAGGAGAGGCAAGCTGCCCACCAAGCATACCTACTATTATGCTTTGTGGTTTTGAAAAAGTGACATTTTTGAAATTGTACCTGTGACGAGAACAGCATTAATAATAAAGGCAGCTTCAGGGCCTGCCAAGCTTCCCAGAGGGGGCGATGCCAACATGAGAGGTTGACAGTGCTCTTTTACCCCTTTTGCAGATGTTAGACCTGAGGTCTGGGTGGCAAGGCCACCTGCGTGAAGTGGCACCGTCTGTTAGTGGCAAAGCTGGGACTGGACCTAAGGTCTGGCTTCCCCCTTGCTTCTACCATGCGACCTTACCACCTCCAGTTATTTCCCTGCACAAGCAGCCACAATGAGGTCAGGAGCGGCCTTGGCGAGTTTTGAGTTCCCTCCCAGCTGAGTGGCTTGGAAAGGCAGGTGGGCTTTGCCGGGACACGAGGCTGAGAGCTGACAGTCCGCTGTCCTCCCTGTGCACCACCGTCAGCCTGTGGGCCACAGTGGAGGAAGGGAGGCCTCAGTAGTTAAGGCACTGGTGGATGCCTGCCCTCTGGACAGCCCACTGTGACGCCAGGGCCAGGCGTGGGTCTCACCCAGAGGGGAGGAAACGGAAATAGGGTCCAGGGGTGGGGTGGGGTGGAGGCCTGGCTGGGCAGGAGATCAGAGCAGGATTGTGTCATGGAGCCTTGCAGCTGATAAGCAGCTGAGCTGCCTGGCCAGGCAGAAGAAGAGACTCCCTAGGGGTGACTTGTCCCCATGAACCCCACTGTTCTCTGCTGCTGTGAGCATCTCCAGCTGCTCAGACCACACCTGGACCTCCCTAGATGTGTGTCAGGGAGGGTTGGGCAGGGGGCTTTAGACCCTGTGTGACCTTGGACAAATCATTCAACTCACTGGGCCTCAGTTTCCCTACCCATCAAAGGAGGATTCAGATACAGCATAGCACGAGGTGGAGGTGGGTGATAGGACTGGGGATCATCTGGTGGCTGGTGAACACTACAATAATTGGCTTTTGGGGAGGAGAGCAGCTTATGAGGTCTCTGGGGCGCCTAGCAGGGCATCCCTGTGCCCTAGGAAGGATGCCAAGCTGGGTAGAAGACTCTTTAAGCTCTGCATTTGTCCAAGTGTGCAGGTGTCAGGAGTGAGTTGCCCATGAGGTGCCAGGGACACCTGGGTTCTCTCCTCTCAGCTCCCACTAGGGGGTCTCCCTGCCTGCTCTTGTCAGTGCTCTGACTCCAGGGAGCTCATTTTCCCCTCTCAGGGAAGAGGACTACTAGGTCTCTTCCCCTCCACCTCCCTATCCTTGGGGATGGGACCACTTTATTCTTTCTATCTTATTACCACTGCGAGGCCTGAGGCTCAATATCATCCTTTACAGAGCATCTTTAGAATATTTCTGCAGGGTCCTTGGGTGCTGAGGGATAGTTTGAGGAGAGGTCACACATGGCTACCTCCCTGACATCATCCTTGGTTCAGTCAAGGTGGTCCCAGAGAGCTTGGCTGGGAGACGAGAAAGAAGGACCAGGGCCCTACCTCCATGGCCAGCTCCAGGCCAAGTGTGTCCATGGCTGCTTCCTGTTCTGTTTATTGCCTCCTGTTCAGGAAATCATTGAGTGACACATCCCCCACCCCTAGCGAGATTATTTAATAGGCACTGTGCTGTGGTCTCTCTTTTGGAAAATCCAGTGGGAGAAGGAAGCTGTCAGCTCGGCTCTGACATCAGCGCTGTCCCTGAGCCAAGAGTCAGGGTGGCCAGGGCGAGGTGGGGGGGCCGGGTCGGGTGGGGAGGAAACGAGTTGTTGGTGGCCCCTGTGACGTGAGGCTGCCACATGGTTCCCAGGGGCGGGGGCTGACAGTGAGGAGCAGGGATTTCTGGGATGCACGCGGAAGCACATAGCAGGACATAGCGATGCACACGTGGGTGCACAGGATCGCGCCTTCTACCGTGTATCCCTTGTGCCCGGGGACCACTGCTCTGCACAGGCTCACTCAGGCGTGAGTCTCTTTCTCTCACTCTCAAACAACCATACAGAGAATTCACAACGTCATCCAGGGTGTGTACAGCCTGGCTCTCTTCCAGTCACACACAGGCAGTGCAAACAAATACACCCACACGTGCACATACAGAGGGCCAGGCAGAGACGTGCAAAGACACACCTGGGTTCTCTCTGTGCGCTAAAATACGTGATGTCCATTCAGACCCAGTCGAACGGACAGACAGGCAGACTCAGGCCTGCCACCCATGGGATTCCAAGGGTGCTTCCTGACCTGGGCCAGGCCCTTGGGGAAGTGGGCTGTGGCCACTTCCTCCTACCACACTGGCCCTTTGGTGGATGAAGAGCCCCGGTTGCAGCGTGAGGAAAGGTCAGGTGGGGCAGGGGAAGGCAGGGAGCCCAGGAGCTGAGGCAGGGAAGGGAGTGAGCATGGAGAAGCTGGGCTCTGGGAGGCCTTTGTTATGGCGTGGGCCTGTGTCCCCACTGTGGGTACCTGCTGCACACTGTCCCGCCTCGGCCTGAGTTAGAACAGGTGGCACCTGAGGTGATAGGAGCTCATAGTCCCAACAGCTGAGTGACTTTGGGCAAGTCACTCAGCTCCACTGGCTTTTATCACTGACACCTGTGGCTCACAGTTTTGACTCACAACAAGAAACACAGAGCACCTTGCTACCGGAAGCTGACACACTGATAGCGACACGGGGGCGGTGAGGGGCTCTACAGGACAATGCCTGCCCTCTTTCTGGGTGATGCCAAGTGATTTTGCTGTTCCATTTCCTTTTTGAAAGTGCTGGTTCAAACTCTAAACTGAACCCACAATCCACCAGAAGGGAGAGATCTAGCGTGTGAAAACCACTTCAGCCTGGGATGATCTCAGGCTAGAGACCCAGATGCGGGAGGATATCAATGTGCTCACAGAGTCCCAATACCACCACCTTGAGGTGCTGTGATCAAGGAAGACAGTGACCCATCCTGCAAGGGGAGAAACCCAGGACAGAGCCCTGCTGGGTGAGACTTGGCCCTGCGCAGTGCCACGGTCAGCCGTCTGCCCCGCTGATGAGCAGTGCTTTGTGGGTTGCTGCTTCCCTTGCAATTTCTATCAGAAATGAAGAAAAAAAAAAATGTAGTCACTCTGATTCACCTCCAGGGGGTTGATTCCTGACGCAGAAGCAGTCGGGAAATGTCAGGGTGATGCTGGGGGCAGCTGGCAGGAGGCCAGAGTGGCTTCTGGCTCCTCTGGGGCCCTACAGAGCATTGCTGGTCACTGCCAGAGATTTGGTGGGATGAAGGCAGGAAGAGGTAGATTACAGGCCCAGTGTGTCTGGGCTTCTAGGGCCATGGGGGGGTGGGGGTGGGGAAGTACTGTGCCCATCTCTGCCAAGGTTGAGAGGCTCCCTGGTGCTCCAGAACCCACGCCAAGCTCTAGGGGCTGGGAGGACCCTGAGGCCACTGCCTGCCCTGACTCTCACACCACCCAGCATCGACCCCTCACCCAGGCCTGCTCCAAGCCCCTGACTTGGGTTAGGGTTTGAGTCTAAATGTCCAGCACTTTATCTGCATTTTTCAGTTACTGTCCCCAGGGCAACCTCATTTGGTGCTGAGGCATCCTCATTATCAGATCAAAGAGGGGCTCAGAGAGAAGTTGGTTGGGTTAGGGTTTGAGTCTAAATTGTCCAGCACTTTATCTGCATTTTTCAGTTACTGTCCCCAGGGCCAGAGAACTGGTTTGTGATGTGAGCAGGATTTGAACCCAGGTTGGCCTGGATGTAGGGCTGCGCTCTTAACGCTAGCCCAGCCCTGCTCTACTCAAAGCTGACTTGCCAAATCCAGGTGTCCAGATAGCTCCCAGATGGAGCCGTAGGGTGGGGGCAGGGGCCACAGGCGGTTACACCCTCACGTCTCAGGTATCTAATAATGAGGTATTTTTGCCTTTTTGGACAGGACACTCAACTGCCAGGGCTTGCCAGGAATTCCTGAGTTTCTCCTGTCTCCTCTGGCTACCTGTCCCCAGCCTTGATCTTGCGGAAGCACTCTCTGACAACCCCACAGGCCCATCTGGGAACTCCACTCCTTTCCTAGGTGGAAACATCCAGGCCAGGGGTTAAGGCTAGTTTTCAGAGAACTGAGATCAGAGTTGGGGAGGAGAGAGAGGGAGGGGGGAAAAGAGGAAGGGGGCTGGCTTGGGCAGTAGGGGTTACTCTGTATCTGGGTCACTGGTCTTGGGGAATTCCCGATGCCCAGAGAACTGCTTACCTGCTGAGTAACGGCTGCTGGCTGCCCACACAGGATGCCTGGCTAAGAAGGCAACTCCCTGCCACCCCATGTCAGTGGCCACTGCCATGCAGCCCTCTCTGGAGTACCCTGGGGGCCCAGGAAAGAGACAGACATGCAGGCAGGGGGCTGGCCCCACCCCCACATCCTGAGGGGGGCTCTGCAGGGGGCGGCTGGTGATTCAAGCCCCTCTGAGCTGAGCTATGTCCCCATCCCTCTCAGATGGGGCCTGGGGGTGAATCAGCTCCTGGGGGCGGCAAGGCCGGTCAGCAGCTGCCCCAGCTCAGGCCTTGTAGGGGAGCACAAGGATGGCAAGCACACTGCCATGCCACCGTACCTGATATCTCCACAGCTCCCTGAAGGTGGAGGTTGTGGAGCACAGAGGTGTCCCTTCTCCCTCCCAAAGTTTCCTTATAGGTAAGATTGTGACAAGAATCCTTCCTTCCCAGGGAAATCAACACAGTCATGCTGGGCTGTAGGAGGCTTGCTGGGGCCCGGAACCACTGAACTCTGGGTCCTCCCAGCAAACCCACTGTGTAGCTACCATCCCTCCCATTCTACAGATGGAGACACAGGCCAGCTGCTGGCCACTTCCCCCCAAAGATACACAGCTCACAACCGGCAGAGCTAAACCTCCAGCGTGGTTATGAATGAGGCCAAAGTCCATTCAAACCACCAGCCTTCCACACCTCCTTTCCAGGAGAGATTTGGCATGCACAGCTTTTGGAAAGCAGAAAATGCTTTCAAAAAATACTTAGCATCTACTCTGGATATCACCCCAAACAGTTGCTGCTAAGAGTCCAGGTGCTGGCAGACTCCATCCAAGCCCACAAAGATTGAGGAATAAGATATTTATGGTAACTGGAAACAAAGGCCAGCAGAGCAGATGGGGCTGAAGGGACTTCTAGAAGCCCGTCCCCAAAGAGCGATGGGTTGTTGCAATTCCTGGGTGTCTTGTGAGCCACAGGCCTGGCTTCCAGGTCTGCCTCTTTGCCAACTCTTTGTGTGACCTTAAGTTCCTTTGCCCGCTAAACCTCAGTTTCCCCATGTAAACAATGAGCAGCTGTGACATTCTAGGGCAGACTTGAGTATATTGGGTGAAAATCAGCAGACAAAGACAGCTGGCTGGCTACATGCATAAATAAGAGAAGCCGACTTGCTCATTGCTTGTAGACAGGACAGTACCCCAGGCCCTGCCCAGACTGAAGGGGTCCCTTGTGGGCTGACTATCCCTCTCACCCAGAGGGTGGTCAAAACCATAGCAGGCCCAGTCTGCAGGAGCAAGACAGGCTGTGGATGAAGTCACAGCTGGAAGAGGCCAGGCTGGGGCTGCCACTCCAGGGTGGGGTCCAGGTCATGACCCTGGAAGCAGGCAGCCAATAAGGGAGGATGCCTTCCGTGAGGGAACAGGGGAAAACACATGTGTATACACACACACACACACACACACACACCACCACCACCACCACCACAGCAGAAAAGAGGGAGGGAAGAAAACAAACCCGGGCTGTAGCCACGTTGCAAGCTCTTCACGGACACTCGACTCTGAGACCTTGCCCGGCTTCTCCCAAAGGCCCAGTGCAGGTGGTCCCCAGACATGGACAGGAGGTCAAGGCTGGGCCTGGGATGCCAAGGAGCCCAGAGCATTTGGGGCGCATGGAATAAGTCAGGTATGGGGAAAGGGAAAACAGAGGCATGGGAGAGCGCCGGGCAGGGCTGGGGTTAATGGCCCCAGCAACAGATTCTTTTAGACCCTGTTTCCACTTCCTGTGGGGTAGGGCTGAGATTAAATGGTGCCTGGGGGTGAATTGTAGGGCTAAAGGAAGAGCCACAAGGCAGTGTAAGGCTTGGAGGTCCCCTGAGAGGGATGCAGGGCGGAGCCTCAGCACAGGGAAATGGGTTGTTGCCCCTAGGAGGCTGGGAGCACTTACTTCGAGGCTCAGCTTAGGGGGACAGGGGATGGATATGTAGCTGGTGACCACTTGAAGCTCTAGTTAGGTGGATCTGGCATCCAGGCTTATGTCAGCCAGGCTGGGAGCATGGGGTGGGACTAGCGGCCGATCCAGAATTCAGGCACTGAGAGTGGTCTTGTCAGGTCATGGTGGGGGTGAGCTGGAATGTGTTGGGGTGCACACTGACCGCCAGGGCATGGGAATAGGAGGAGTGAGCGGCAGTTGGGGCCCTCCACGGCACCCTAAGAAAGAGACAAAGTATGTTGGGACAGTGCCAGACTGGCTCTCCTTCCTCCTCTTGCTGGGAAGTACCCGCTGGGAAGGGCAACTTTATCACTCTACAAGAGAGGCTGTGCCAGGAGGCCATGGAGGAGTCTGGCTAGGGCATGGAGTGTGTGCAGGAGGGGACAGCTGCAGCACAGTGGCTCATCTTGGCAGGACTGGGGATAGAGTTGGGCAGGTCCAGGATATGGTGAGAGCCTGGAGCTGGGGGCACAGAGGATGGGTAAAAGGGTAGGCAAGGGTTAGGCAAGGCTGTGGGAGTTCCTGGACTTGAAGAACCGATTCTCCATCCTGGATCTTGGGCCAGGGTCAGGCAGGAGGGGTGGGGTGATGTCCCCAAGGTAATGAGGCAGCTCTTGGTACAGAGAGACCTGATAGCTTTAGGGACAGCATGGCCTCAGATGTATTGCCTTATTTTTCTTTATTCTGCTTCCTACGGAAGAGGAGTCCCTCTGCTCATTTTGCTCTGGTCCCCACCATTCTTACTGACCCTCAAGTATTCACCAATCTACTTGCCCATGGTAGACACCAGAACTGTCTCAGAGACTCCAGAAGCCCTTTTTGGAAGACGCTATCGTTTTCTGAAGCTGACCTCTGGGGGCTTTTCCAGGAGGTTCTGCGTGCCTGCTATTTCTGTTTGCCCAGCCACCCTTTGTCATCCCAAGGAAGAAGCCTGGATGTGATTTTTCAGACATCCCTTGGTCTCTGCTTCAGGTGATCCCTTTAGAATGGCAATGCTGAACTGTCTTGTTCAGAGCTCCTCCCCAAAAGATCCCCCCAAAGCAGGCCAGAGCCCCTCATATCTTCCTAGCTCCTCCTCCACCCTCACAGATAGAAGTGGTCAGCAGAGCAGGTGTACTGATGGCTGACAGGGGTCTGACTTTCTGGGACCCCATGTTATGTGTTCCTTTGGAGCCCCGGTTTGGCCAGTGGCAATGGGCAGGTTGCAGAAGGCCACCTCTTAGGTGGCTTCTAGCGCCCATGCTCACTTCTGCTTTATTACCGTCTAAAGTCCAAGCCAGGCCTCAGCCCCTCTTCCTGGAACCTTCTTCTCAGCCAAGTCCCAGCCTGTGTCCTCCCACTGACCCTAAAGCCCCCCATCAGGGACCACAGGCATCACCCTCCACCTGCCAGTCCAGTCTTGCCACCTCCCCAAACCCAGGTGAGTCAGGGCCATCTGGGCTGCCTCAGGCTGGAGGGACCCCCACTGAGGGCCTGGGGCCCCATCCCTACCAGGCCCATCTTCAAAGCCTAGGGCAAGCCTCGCAGGAAAACCACAGGGCATACGTTCTTTTGACGACTTCATTATAATTTTATCAATCAAATTCTTAGAAGAGGGAAAAAAATCTGCCCTCCCTACCCTCCTCCCTCACTTGTCCCCCCCTTCACTCTCACTTTCTTCCATTCATAATTTCCTATGATGCACCTCAAACAACTTCCTGGACCGGGGATCCCGGCTAAATATAGCTGTTTCTCTGTCTTACAACACAGGCTCCAGTATATAAATCAGGCAAATTCCCCATTTGAGCATGAACCTCTGAAAACGGCCGGCATCTCAGGTCTCCTCCAAGGCCCTCTGGAGTCCGTTCCATAATGAAGGTCTTGGCAGCAGGTAAATCCTCCTGGGCCGTGCCGGCTTCCGCGTCCCCGCAGCGGGCGCGGCGGAGCTTAGGGCGCTTGGCGAGCACCAGCGGGACGCCTCCTGCCGCAGCCGCTCGGACACTTGGGGCGCCCGCGCTGCCCGCCCGGCCCGCCGGAGGCGCTGGGAGGCTACACATGGTCGGGGCTCCGGGCGCCCAGCCCGCCGGGCTGCAGGTTGGCGGGGAAGGTGGGGGCCAAGCAGCCTTCCTCCTCGCTCCGCCACTCTCCCGCGCTGCCCTTGCCTCCCTGCTTTCTCCACGATTCACTCTCCCTCTTTTCTTTTTCTTTCTTTCTTTCCGCTTTCTCTTTTCCGACTGCGTCCCGGGCTGCTCCCTGGGAGGGGCACGGGCGGCCGAGCAGCTTGCAAACTCCGGCTCGGACGGGAGCAGGTGCTACCTCCAGCTGCTAGTGCCTGGAAAGCGTGAGGTCCGCACTAGGTGAGACGCGGTGTGGGCCCTCTCTCCCGAGCCATCCTGGCACCTCCACTCGGCCTGGGGATGCTGGGAGGAAAAGGGGACTCAAGGGAAGTGAACTTGAGGCTCCTGTTCACACAGGGGGCTTTCGCTGGACGCCTCCAGCTTCTCGGGTCGGCTGGTCTCAGATCCGAGGACCCTCAGGCGCCTTCTGCTGGGACCCGAGTGGCCTGTCTGGGGTGCATGATGGTGAAGGGGGTTCAGGCACCTGGGGGGAGGGGTGATCGGGACAGGCCCGGACAGCTCCCCGCTCTCCTGGCACCTTTCACTTTACTCCCTCTGGGCCTGGCTGCCTGCGACCTTTTTCCTTTTCTCTTTCCTGGTTGCACCCTTTCCTCTCCGTTACAAAAGCCAGGTGGTCCTTGCCCTAACCCAGGGCCTGGGACAAAGGACAGTGGACAAGAGGGGCAAGTGAATGGATTCCAGGGAGGGAGGTGGGCCGTCTGAAGGGAATGATGATTTGGGAGTGGGGAAGGGGGACTTGGCCCTGGATGGGGAAGTGGCTTCACTGGGAAGGACAGAGATGCTGGATATGGGACAAGGTCGGAAGGATTAGGGGTCGGAATTCTTGAAGCTAGAATTCAGTGGCAGGTTAGAGAAAAGTGTCAACAGAAGTTCCCACACCTTGTCCCCAGGCGGTCATTTGGGAGGCTGGGGCTGAAATGGGCCATTGAGTATGAGGCAAAGCTTAGGCATCTGGACCATCCCAGGAGATGGAATGATAGGGATCACCTTTCTCCTGGGAAAGGATGCCTCCCAGTCAGAGGGCAGGAAGCTTTCAGGTTTCATCCTTCCTAAAGGAAGGGGCTGGACAGTTGTTCTGGGCCCAGCTTCCAGCTGATGGAATGACTCCTTCCTGCATCCTTGCCCGGTCCCTCAACCCAGGAGAGAGTAGGGACAGACAAGAAGGCCCAGCAAAGCAGAGCTAGAGATCTGGAGACAGAGAGACAAGGAAAAAGATGCAGAGAAAACTAGAAATGGTCAGAGGAGCCAGAGCTGGAGGCAGAGAGCAGAATGGATTCCTCTCCTGTGAGCCCCTTGCCGACTCTCAGCCAGTATGCCCCGTGCCCCAAGCCACCCTTCCGCTCATCTCTCCTGTCTTTCCTGTTCCCAGGAGTCATGCCCCTGCTGCTGGTTCTGCACTGGAAACATGGAGCAGGAAGCCCTCTTCCCTTCACCCCTGTCAATGCCACCTGTGCCACACGCCACCCATGTCACAGCAACGTCATGAGCCAGATCAGGAACCAGCTGGCACAGCTCAATGGCAGCGCCAATGCCCTCTTTATTCTCTATGTAAGTTACCCTACAGGATATTCAGGAAGGAAGGAGGGGCTCGCTAATGAGTAGCTGGCCATGGCGGGAAGGGACCCCTTTGGAGCTGGAAGGAGGCAGTGAAGATAAGTCTGGTCAACCCACATCTGAGTTCCCACCCCTTCTTCCACACAGCCCAGGCTCTAGGAAAGGAAGCCACTTTCTCAAGGTGCCTGGCCAGTGAGGGGTAGAGCTGGGATGAGGAGGGGGCCTGGAACTTCTAGTCTTGTGAGAGATCAAGGGGACTAAGACAGTGAGTGAGCCAGGAGAAAAGAGGGGCCTTGAGTGTCTGCAGGGCCGTCCAGGAAGAGGGAGAGTGTGGCGGATGAAAGTGCAAGTATGTGTGGTTTACCCGCCGAGGTGTCACTAGTGAGATGCCACTGGCTCCTTTCCTTTTCTGTATGGTCAAGGTGATGATGACGACAACTGCTTGCATGGTCTGGGCCAGTGGTGGTGACACTGTGTTGCAGTTGGCTGTTTGTTATCACTGAAATCTTGGAAAGTTTCGCCATCCCTGGTCTAGGCCTTGATGATTAGCAAGTTTGGTCACACTTGTGATTGCTTCCAGCTCCCAGGACAATTCTGGATGCCTATAGGGCAGGGAGTTGGGTCCACAGACCTCAGGTGGGGAAACAGAAACTTAAGAGCTTCCCTGAGGCTGGTAACAGGGCTGGAATGTCAACCCTTGACTCCCTTGTCACTTCCTCTCCGCTCTTTTGCTTCTCAGTACACAGCCCAGGGGGAACCGTTCCCCAACAACCTGGACAAGTTGTGTGCTCCCAACGTGACGGACTTCCCTCCCTTCCACGCCAACGGCACCGAGAAGGCCAGGCTGGTGGAGCTGTATCGCATCATTGCCTACCTTGGCGCTGCCTTGAGCAACATCACTCAGGACCAGAAGCTTCTGAACCCCAATGCGCTCAGCCTTCACAGCAAGCTCAGTGTCACTGCAGATGTCATGCGGGGGCTCCTCAGCAATGTGCACTGCCGTCTGTGCAACAAGTACCACGTGGCACATGTGGACGTGGCTTATGGCCCTGACACTTCAGACAAGGATGTCTTTCAGAAGAAGAAGCTGGGTTGTCAACTTCTGGGGAAGTACAAGCAGGTCATTGGCATAGTGACTCAGGCCTTCTAGACAGAATGTCTTGAAGCCTGTCATGGACTGAGGGATCTCAGGAGCAGGATCCAAATGTGGGGGGTTCTCAAAGAGCGGCTGGGGCCCAGGGCATCATCTAACCTGGGGGCTGCTGGCAGGTCCCAAGGGGTTCTCAGCATGTCAGGGCCTCTATACAGCACTGACCAGAAGAGGTTCCCTTCCGGTAACCAGGGTGTCGCACTGGGGAGGGAAGTGTAGGCAGCATTTCTGCTCCCACTTGTCCCCCTTAGTCCTTGTTCAAACCGCACAAGTTGTCTAGAGCAGCCCTGATCACAGGGCAAGACAGTGAGGGCCTGGGGTCACTGGTTTCCAGTGGACTGACTGCCATTTGTGCCTTCGTTTTTCCTAGACTTTGGAAGGCTTTGTTGGGACATAGGCAGGCCAGAGGGACTGGAGTCGGGAACTCTTTGTCCCTTAGAAAATTTAGTAGGTAGAAGATAGAGAAGGGGTGGGATGCCATATTCTTTTGAACATAAACAGAAATCTTAGGCCCAGGTATTGTTGGGTAGATGGTTCCAGAGGTCATTGGTATTTAGGTTCTTGGGGAGGCAGAGAGGCTACCTTCAAGCCTGAGAAGGAAGGTGCTAGAAGGAAGAGAGGCCCCCAAAACCTTGTCCCTCTTCCTCTCCTCTGCACTCTTCCTACAGCCTGGTACAGCCAGGATTTGGTAGCTAGATCCAGGATAGGGTACATGGAGGTGGGTAAGCGCAGGTTACAGAGATGGGTGTGGAGCTTTAGAGGGGGCCCAAGAGCTTCCTCTTGGGGATGGGAAGGGCACAGGTAGCTCAGAGCAGCAGCTCACATTGGAGGCCTATAGAGGCCCTGTAAAATCATACAAAGGTACTTGAGGGGGACCAGAGCCCGTCTTGGGTCCCTAGAGCAAGGGGTCACAGAACTTGAGGTCAGGGTCTCAGAGAAGCCTGAGATCCAAAAGTGCTGTGTGTCTAGCCCAGCATGGTTATCTATTTATTATGATGTCCTATTTATGTTAACTTATTGGTGCTTTAAATGGTAAAGTTAATCCTTTCCCCTGCTCTCTGCCCAGCAGGGAACCAGAGCTGAGCTTTTTGGCAGGGTTTGGTCTAGAAGCTGACATGTTACAAGTAGAATTAGCCTTATGGGTGAAGCTCAGAGGAGTGTCAGGGTCTGAGAGATCTGGCTAGAGTCCCTGTTCCCCTCCCTCCTGACTTGCTTTGGGGGTGTCAGGGACAGGCAGCAGGGGCTGAACCAGTCTGTGCAGGGAGGCTTAGTTTTCTTGGTTCCAGGACACTTTCCCACTGTGCTCTCTAGCACCCCCTCGAATGGTTGGCACCATTCATCATGGAAATGATGGCCCTGGGGCAGTGGGCAAGGCTGCTCACTTATCTTCATCAGTGGAGTCTTTGTCACACAATGCGAATGAGCCTGCCCTGACACCCAGAGTACTCCTGAGTGGTAGGGAAGATCCTCAGGTGGCTTGATCACCCACCAAGTAAGTGCGTGGGGTGTTAGGGCAGGGCATGGACTGAGCAGCTGCCCCTGTGCTCTGGAGCTGGGAAAGTGAGACCTGAGATGCTTGGGACACAGACCAGGAAGCTGTGGTTCCTGCTACCCACCTCCTTCCCACTCCCTTCTGTGTCTGGGTTCTCAGGCATGGAACCAGATCTGCTTTCTTCCTATATGTTGGGGCCAGGTGAACAGAGAAATGCCTTTGGGTCTGCAAGCAAGAGAGGGAGGGAGGTGATGGAGCTGTGGCAGCTGCTGAGAGCAGCCTTCTGGTTGCTTCTCGAGTCCCAAGCTTGTGGTAGTCCCAGCAGCCCAGTCACAAGCTTTTGGTACCGGTGATGGTACTTCACTCTCACTTTGTACCTTTCTCTCTTATTCTCTAAGCACTTTACCTCGATGGCAGGGGTGGGGATAGGGAAGGTTAGGCATTGTGCATCCCAACGGTGTGACTCAGATGTGATGTGTGTGGCAGAAGAGGCCACAGCAGTTGTGCCTTTCCCAACACAGTTTCAACTTGGGTCACATTCTTGTCCACGATCAAAGCCTACCACCCTCCTATTCCTCTGCTCCTTTGGGCATGGCTTGGGAATGGCTGCACTTTGCAAGCTGAGCAGCAAGAAAAACAGCTTGTCTGGAAGCCAGGATGGAGGATTCAGTAGCCCGGGGCCAGCTCAGCTTGCCATCACCCATCTCCCTGTGGACTGGACATGGATTCCCTGGCCTGGACCTACCTGGCAGCCTTGGAGGGCTGAGGAGCCAATAGAATCTCTTCCTCCCTGCCTGCACAAGCCCTGGCTCCCTGACACTCGCTGCCCAGCCTGGACTCTGCCTCAAGGACTTGGTCCTCAGTGTTCTCTCTAGGTCTAATTCCAGCAGGTCAGCACCCACTTTGCACAGTATCACTGAATTATGGAGCCTTTGTGGGCAATAAATTGTGCGTTGCTTTGTTTTGGCCTACTGGCATTGACCCTCACCTGGCACGATGGGTCATATGCCTGGGCCAGAGGATGAAGGATGGGTCTTCTGCAGAGGATGGGGTAGACAGTCATTTGGCAGTTTATCAAGAAAGAAGTATAGGGGTCCTTATTTATTATTTAAAATTTTAAACCACAAAAGCACTGTAAGTTTACTTGTCTCTACTCATCTTCCTTCTTATCTCCAACCCTGATTAAGTCAGTCTGGCCTGTTTTACTGGGTCTCCAGGGCAGACTTGGCCAGTGGGGTTGGAATCTCAGAATCTATTGAGGTAGCAATTGCCTTTCAGACAATACAATGTTCCCATGTCAGATAAATCTCATACCCAGCCCCAGTACCTAGGCTGCCTCTCCCATTTGCACTGCTAGCTCAGTGGGCCCACCAAGGGGCCTTACATGCCTCCCTCCTTCCTTTCTACTAGAAAGGACTTGACCTTGGGTGATAAATTCCTCTTTGATGAATGTACCCTGTGGGAATGTTTCATAAAGACAGATTATTTTAATTTATTCAATGTCATATTTAAAATATTTATTTTTTATACTGAAGGAATACTTTTTTTTTTAAAAAAAAGAGAGAAATTAATAAAGAATCTGCTCTTGGCAAGTACTTTGGAGTGTATTGATGTGGGGAGACAGGAGGGGTGGGGACCTGGCAGTCCAGCTGGGTGGGACTCATGCTGGATGAAGGGCGGGAGTGGGGAGGCGTGGGGTGCCTCCACTGGCCGAGGGTTCTGGCACTGACAGGAGTGAGTGAGTGGGATTTTAGCCCAGGCAGAAAGTGGATGATGTCCAGATCATGGGATGTCACCAAGGAAAGGGCTGAATTGCTCATCTGTGGGGAGGGGTGTTCTTTGGCTACTCACTAAATTCTCACAGTAACCCCATTGATTGCGTCTCATTTACTAGAGGAGGAAACAGAGTCAGAGAGATGAAACCAAATGCCTGTGACCATCTGAAGTCTTTAGGAACAATTATGGTCACCTCTTCAACTCCAAACCTCATGTTCTTTCCCCTTTGTGAACGTTAGAGACTTAGAACTAAGACCCAGTGCAGAGGTCCCTATTATGAAGAAATGGTTACTGACCATCTGGAGGGACCTAAGAAGCATGGGCCTAAAAGACTTTGGAGAATGGAGGAGAAGTGTCCTTCTTGGGCTCCTACAGGCCAGCTCAGAGCTGAGCTGCTACACTGATGGCTTCTTAGCTAGTCTTCCTGGGCCTGAGCAGCTCCCATAGTGGCCCTGCGGCACTCCTCCTGCCTTACACTTGGGTTGGTAATTTTCACAGCAATCTTCTTCCCAGTCTCCTGGGACCCTTTCACTGGGGGAGTAAGTAAGGTTCATACTGAGTAGTCACAGACACAGAGACCTGGAGCAGCCCCAAATATCTCCCCAGGGTTCTCTCTGAGATTGGGATCTGAGCTTCTCAGATTTTGGAGATCTGGGCAGGGTTTCTGAGAATCACCTACTTCATGCACTTACATTTACTGGCGTCAGTCATTGCCTTGTAGAAGCTCAAAGCTAAAACTGCTAGTGGAGACAATGAATACCCCCTCTAGGAAGATGTGGGCGATGGAAGAGGTTCCAAGAAGCAAGGAGGTCAAAATAGAGAGATTACTCACTCTGGAATCAACTGGGGATGTCGGCAGCCTGCTCTCTGTATGGCGAAGGGGCTGGTCTGTGACATGGTGCAACATTGGCTTCACCTGAGAGTAGGTTAAACCTGTAGTCTTAGCTTCATCCACCAGTCAAAATCTGGCCTAAAGCAAGATCCCAAGCTGTTTGTATGCATAGTGAGACAGAGAAAGGCTACCCTACCCTGTTACCTCATGCTCCTCCACAGGCTGCGAGGCCCCGTGCAAATCTCCCAGGACAGTGCAGGCAGCTGTAGGAAGGAAGATTTGAGGGTCCAGAGCTCTTCCTGGATCTTCTCTCCAAAGGCAGCCCCAGGTCTCCTTGCCCTCTTGCTGGCTGAGTCCTTCGGACAGGCCACATCTGCCAATATATGCTTGTCATGCCCAGGAGTGGAGATAATCCTTCCATTGCCCAGGGTAAGCAAGGTTAAAGCTTTCCTAAAGAAACCTTTACTAGGAGACTACAGAAAAACAAAACAAATGCCAAAGAGCAGAAAAGGAAGGATGGGGATGGTGGATAGATGGCCCACATGTCTGGAATTCTCCACCAGGGAGAGGGTCCCACCCTGGCCAGAAAGAACAACAGACTGTTAATTGGTTATTGGGTCACCCTCAAAAAGAGAGAGGCAAAACGGTCAGTGGAGGAAGGGACATGGCCTGCTGGCTGGGAAGGGCCAGCCAGGCTCTTGCCTGGTGCTATCGCTGCTCAGTTCAGCCAGGGGCCCGTTTGAGGAGCTCAGCTCACTTTTCTGTGAAGATGCAAGAACAGTCGATGGTGAATGCCATTCCATCTACCACAATAACCAGAAAGTAGGGGTAGTCATGCTGGGTGAATTTTGATTCTATTGGGGACCCAGCCTGTCCATTCTTAGGTGGAGGGCGATGTGAAGCAGAAGGAATCTCAGATACCTGGTGCCCCTTTTGCAGGTGACAAGGCATCACTCTCCCCCAGAGAAAGCAGAAGGGAGGATATGGACAGTTAAGTCTATTGCTCTGGATAGGCTGATGGTGGGGATAGTGTGAACATTCTAGCAGATTGCTCCTTGTGGATAACCCAAGTCCCAGGCCCATAAGACACTTAGGTACAAAGGCCTTAGGTATGAGGTGGAGCATGTGGGCTGCCCAGATTCCCAGCTAAGCCTTCAACCACTCCTGTCCTCAGGAATACAACAGGACACAGGGCCCACGAATCTCGGAAGATAATTCCAACAGTGGTCCTACTGCATGGGCTTGGTGAGGAGCTGCGCTGCTTTACAGTTTACCAAGCATTTTTTTTACCCATCATTAGATCCTCCCTACCACTCTGTGACTATCGGGTTGCATATTCACTCTATATTACAGATGAAGAAACAGGGTGGAGTGGGGTTCTGTGTGTGTGTGCGTGTGTGTGTGCATGCATGTGTGCACACATGCGCATGTGCGCATGTGCACATACGCAAGTGTATGGGTGGGGAATAGAACCCAGGGCCTTGCTCATGCCAAGCACCTACTGACACACTGAGCTGCACCCCAGCCATGAGATGCCCTTGCTGTTTACTTCTATGGTCACTTCCTCATGTACCTTGTCAAGCCTGAGAAAGGCTTTTCTGCTGCAAAATTTATACTCAAGGGGCTCAGGTGGAAGAAAGAGAATCTCCCAGGGAAATTCCTAAATTTGAAGATGGTACAGAAGGGAAACGTATTTATACACCAAAGCAACATGTCTGCAATACGCATGAATGTCACAAAGGAAACAAAGTACATTCATTTCCTAATTTAAAGTTCTCTTTGTTTTCAACAGCATCCAAGACAGCTTCTAACAGAAGGTACATAATAAAAATACCAAGAAAAGAGATAGAGAATTAGCCTCAGAGAAATATAAACAGACTGAGAAAATAAGACCACAGAAAGAAAAAAAAAATATTTCAGATCACAAGGCCTATGTAATTACCATGGCTGAACTTCAAAGTTGGCTCTGAGATTCCTGGCAGCTAACGGAAAAAGGGAAATGTTATCTTATTATGTGATTCTCATAATTAGAAAGGAGGATGCCCAGGGAAAGTAGAGCCTGGGCTTGGGCCTGGGTCCCAAAAAGGGTTTTTGTCTGAAACCATGGTCCATAGTGAGTGACATGAGGGGTCTCCCTTTCAACAGAGTGTGGATTCCTGGGGTTGGGAGACCTTTCTGCAGCAGACAGGCCAGATTGACTCTGAAATGCAGCCCAATGAAGGGGATTCTACCAGTAGCCAGTCTGCCATGGGCAAAAACTGTGGCTTTGGGTCACCTAGGGCTGGACGTAAGCCCCTACTGTATGTAAGGGCTGCATGTGATTCAGAAGATTCCACCTACACTTTTAAAAAATGACACTGAGCAGTGAATCCAGGGCCTTTTCATTGAGCTACATCCCTGGCCCATCTTTTTTATTTTTTATTTTGATACAGGGTCTTAGAAAATCATTAAGTTGCTCAGACTAAACTCAAACTAGGGATCCTTCTGCCTCTGTTTCCCAGAGTCGTGGGATACAGGTGCATACACTATGATCGGTTTCAAACACCTTTTTATTGACATACAGTGTACCCACAAAAGGGACATTAGATGACTTCTTCCCTCTTGGAAGAATCTGTGAAAGCTGAAAGAGGGATGCCAGGTGGTCCTGAGGGATGATGCTGGGAGAGGAGAATTGGGAAGCATGTATCATGTCTGGTGAGGGATTTGGGGGTTGATGGCTCTGAGTCTCTCCTCCTGCCTCCAGGGTCCTTTGGGTCCTACTGGACCCAGATGGAAAGTCCTCAGTGGGCCATTGCCTGCAGCAGCCAGGACACTTCCGGCTGGCATCTCTCCCTTCCCTGCGAAGGGCCCAGCTTGAATCTGTCCCTTTCACTTAGTTGGGGGAGCCCCACCCTGCTTTGGCTTCACTTCAGGAAGCAAATATTTCAATTATGAGGACGTGGCTAAGCGCCGCCCACTGGAGGCAGCCTCAGTGGCCGGGTGTCCGGTGGGATGCAGTGGGAGAGCCGCAGACGGCCGTGGATGGGGACCAGGCGGGGGCTAAGCGAGCAGACTGGCTTGCTGGCTGAGAGCAAAACCGCTAGTGGAGAGGAAAATATGCGAGGCATTTTTGTAATTCTAGGCAGCTTGGTCCAGCTCCTGCCCAGACGGTCAATGAATCAAAGCCGGGAAGACTCTACCTGTCAGCAGGCGCTCTCCTGGCCCTGTCCCCCAGCCTCCACGCCTCTGTGCCCAGTAGGCCAGCTGGAACCCTCTCAGCTCCCCTGAGTGAGAGTGTGTCATAGGCAAGAAGCAGACATGGGCAGTGTGGGCTTAGACTGCTCCGTGTCCCCTGTCTGCTCCTGCTCTTGTCCCGTCTTGCTCAGCTGGGTCTCAGGCATCCCTACTGTAGTGGTTGGAACAGTGACCTCCAAAAGATATGGGGGGGTCCTAATCCAGAACTTGTGAATGTGAACTTGTTTTGGAAAAGGGATCTTGGTAGATGTTCTGAAGTTAAGTAGGTGAGCCTTAAGTCCAAGGTCAAGCATCCTTATGAGAGGAAAGAGGTCACGTGCAGGTGGAGATGGCTGGGGGAGCCACAGGCCAAGGAAGACGTGGGCCAGTAGAAGCTGGAACAGGCCAGGAAGGATTTTCCTCTAGAGCCTTTGGGGAGGGCCAGGCTTGGCTAATCCTGTCATTTTAGACTGTTGGCCTCCAGAGCCGTGGTGGTCGGTGAGCAGCAGGCTCCAGGGCAGGACCCAGCTTGTGTGCTGTGTTACGGCAGCCTGAGGATGCTGCTGCTATGGTTTGGATGGCAGCCCTGAAATGTCCAGATGTTAATGCTTGATTGGCTGGCCTATGGTGCTACTAGGACGTGGTAGCACCTTTAAAAATGTGAGGTCTTAGGTCACTGAGGTGCCCTCAAAGGGGATATGGGACTCC